TGAAAATTTAAATTGGATTAAATAAATTTAATTAACCATGATAATTACAGTGAGTAACCCACCTTAAGAGAGGTACATAGTAAATCAAATCAAATAAAAACACCAAGGAACAAATAAACCCTATCGTTGTTGCTAGGTTACATGAAACCTAATCGCTGGACAAGAGGGAAAATACTCAGAAGTTGGAAATTACTAAATAGAATCGGAAGAAGGCACAACTAACTATTACTAAGATTAACTGTTCTTTTACCATAGAAAGTCACTAACAAATCAAAACACAAATTGAAGTTTGCATAAAATACATAAGATTTCATAAAACACATGTACCGACAATAGCGCTGTAGGGCAGTGGCAACGGCACGACAACAATGCGGTAGCAGGAGCGGCGGCAGCGGGAGCAACGACAGTGGGAGCGGCGGCAGCGGGAGCAGCGGCAGTAGGAGCGGCGGCAGCGGTGGCAACAGGAGCAGCGACAGCGAGAGCAGCGGCAGCTGTAGCAAATGTAGTGTAGGTCTGTTGAAAGTGAAGGAAGGAGACCTAGGTAGAAGGGAAGAGAATTTTGGGAAAAAAGATTAATTTAATATTTTTATTAAAAAATTATAAAATTTTTATCATTTTTAAAAAATATTTTTATTATTATATTAAAGATGTTTATATTTAAAATAATATTTAATTAAATAAATATTTTAATATAATAATTTTTTATAAAGACTAATTTCTAAAAAAATTATAAAAAATTATTTATAAAATTTTCTATTAATTTAAATTATTAAATACTTCCTACAAATTTAAATTTATAAAAAATTTACAAAAAATAATTTTAAATATTTATCAATTTTTTTAGATATTTTTTCAAAAAATTATAATTATTTTCAAATAATTTATTTATATATATATATATAATTAATATATTTATAATAAATTTGGTAAAAATAATTTTTAAATAATTTTATAATTATTTTTTTCTATAAATTTGCTACAATTTAATTATGATTTTATATTATATAATTTAGTTAAGAAATAACTTTAAAAAATAACATAGTTAATATTTATAACTAGGGATTAGTGACAAAAGTTTTCCCTAACTAAATTATTTGTCTATTAAGGGAGGGAATAACTACAAAAATATTATCTTCTAGCTATTTTACTACAAATTAACTACAATTTTATTCTTTTACTATTCCATAGCTAATTAGCTACAAATTAGCTAAAAATAAATTTTGTAGCAAATTTTCCTAGCTAATTGGAAAATTTCTTGTGGTGTAGCGAATCTCTTTTATTTCAACACGTCTTTTTGATAACATACACTTAGTTTGTTTTGATATCATTTTTCAAACACTATAATAGTATCGATTCAGAATATTACTTTATTATCTTTTATTTAAATTAGGTATTAAGAGATTTTATTATCTTTTAAGTGAGAAGATAAAAAGATATTAAGTTATTATTTTGAATTACCCAGTTATGATTGAGATATTATTAATATATGATATTTTGTAATATTTTTACTCTAAATATACATAAAGTACATGAATAGAAATATGTCCATATAATATATCAGAAATACACATTCGCAACATTCTAAAAATTTTCATCAGTGGTATCAAGAGCTTTGTTTCGATACAATGATCCGCTACTTGAAAATTTCACCATAGTTCAAATGAAATTTCACAAAAAAAGAAAAAACGAGAAAGACAAAAGCTAAATCATGTCTGTTGCTTGGTGTTTCATAAATGATCTTCACCAGAATCATGACGCTAAAGTCACCCAAAAAAAATTGGGATTATTTGAAAGATCAATATGAAGGGGACGAGAAAATTCGAGGTATGAAAGTTCTAAACTTAATAAGGGAATTTGAGATACAAAAGATTCAAGAGTCTAAGACAATTGATGAATACTCAAACAAATTGTTAGGTATTGCTAACAAAATAAAGTTATTAAGCAAGGAATTTTTTTATTCCAGAATAGTTGAAAAAATTTTGGTAACTATGCCAGAGATATGAAACATTTATTTCTTCATTGGAAAATACAAAGGATTTGTCTAATATTACTTTGGCAAAAGTGTTACATGTTTTATAAGCGCAAGAACAATGAAGATTGATGAGAGAAGATCATGTTGTTGGTTGATGAGAGGAGATCATGCTGCTGGTGAAGGTTCTTTACTATATAAGTCAAAAACAATAAAGGTACAAAATTACGAGTATTTTCTGTTTGTCCTTATTGCAAGAAAAATAATCACACACCCAATAAGTGTTGGTGGAGGCCTGATGTGAAATGTCACAAATGTAGTCAATTGGGACATATAGAAAAGATATGCAAATCACAACCAAAGGAAGTTGTTCAAATTATAGAGGATAAAGTAGAAGGGGTATTTCTCCTTACATCAACATGCTCTACAATCAACAAATACACAGGTTAGCTTATAGACAGTGGTTGTACAAACCACATAACTCATGATCGAGAACTTTTCAAAGAGTTCAACGAATCACATATTTCTAAAGTGAAAATTAGTAATTGAGAACAAATGGATGTGAAAGGAACTTGATGTTAAGGGGAAAAATAAAGATGTAGATGAAGAAACAATTTCCAACTTTCATCAAAGAAACAAAGGAGATGAAGTTGATAAAGGAAGAATATCAAATTCAAATAAATAGATATTAAAGTAAGGAGAAATGTTGAGAATATTACTTTATTATATATCTTTTATTTAAATTAGATATTAAGAGATTTTATTATCTTTTAAGAGAGAAAGTAAAAAGATATTAGGTTATTATTTTGATTTAGGCAGTTATGATTGAGATATTATTAATATATGATATTTTGTAATATTTTTACTCTATATATACATAGAGTACATGAATAAAAATATACTCATGTTATATTAGAAATACACATACACAAAACCCAAATTCTCATTAGTATCAACTCAACTTTAAACACTTGGTTGCTCTCCCCGAGTGTTTGTTTTATGTTTCTATCAAACTTGACTAAGTCAGGTATTAGATAAATCATATGTTCTATATATTATTAAAATCATATGTTCTATATATTATTATTGAGTCTTTCCTAAAGAAGAATAATATAAGAAAATTCTAATGTAACACGAGTCAACTATATAAAAAAATAAAACATTATTTTTAATTAAAAATTTTAAAACATTAAAACATTAAGTTATAAATATTTCTCGTTTATAAGATGTTTTCTTATTTTCACTGAGATTTTAACTGATTATATTATGATTGGTGTTAATTGTCAAACAATGACAATCAGCAAGATCCTCTCGTTTGGCATTTGGCATGTGATCTGTAAGTTTGTCACTTGTCGTACTCTAGTAGCTTTAGTATTACCTCTACACATTACAATTCCTTAATATGTAGAGGTGGAGAGAACACTTCTCTCCTTTGAAGATTTAGAAGATGAATCATTGTTTGTTTGAGAAAGGAAAATTAGAGTTTGAAAAATGTAAGTCAAGACAAAATGAAGTATATGTGTTTATGATTAAACTTCACAAATTTCTCATTTCTTTATTGGTTTTTGTCCAAATTTAATTTTCTCAATTGATTCATCTTTACTTGGCGTGGGGTGTGCTTAACTTATATAGCATATATCCACTAAGAGTTATTATTTAAATATTTAAATAAAGTATTAATTATCGAAGTAAATTTTTATTGAAAGAATCCTATATAATATGATAAGTTGTTTTTTTTAATTGTTTTATCTAATAATTTAAAAAATAAGTAAATGATAAGAGAAAGTAAAAAAGAGAATAAGTTTTTTTAAAATTTATTAAGAATAATTCTAAAGAAGTAAATTGATAATGAAATGCTTGAAAATATGTAATATCATAAATATTTGATTTACAAAAAAAATTTTAAGACAAGAAACAATTTACATTGTATTGCTTTTATTAGAGATGGCCTTAACATGTTTTTTTTTAAGAATTTGTCATATGATATAAATGCATGTCTTTTTTTATTATTATTCAAGTATAATACTTGTTGTAAGTCACACTTTGTGTTTGTCTCATCTAAAGTGGCACTAATGAAACTTTTTGGGAGGTAAGATGGGTTATGAACTTTAAAGATTTGGTAATTTATAAGTATATTTATGATTTTGATTCCTAAATTTAATAATTATTAAATATATATTTTTATATATGTATAATTTTGATATCTTTTTTTATATTCAATTATTATGTATTAGTAATATATTATTTGATCTAAAAATGATTGATGAAAACTATAAGTAGAATGATTTAAAAAAATACTATGCTATTTTATATATATTATGAATGGATTCTATAAAAAAATTTAATATGATATCATGTTAAAATCTAACTTATTTTTCGTTCTTACGTAGATCAAATTATTATTTTATTATAGGTTAAAATTACTCTTTGTCCAAGAAGTTGAACTTATATTAAAACTATATTGAAAACTTACCAATAGTGACTATTTTCATATTTTTAAAAAGATTAAAACCATTAGTAATACTATAAAATACAAACAGCTTATTTTATAGTTTTGTATGAAGTAATTAAATTTCAATTTCATAGAATGTGGACACTATAATTAGTAATTTACGGAAAACACTGGGAAATTTTAGTTAATCTAATTGATATTTCTACCATTAGACTCATCCTTTTGTTTTCCAAGGAGTATAATTTCAATTATAAAGCAAACAATTTTTATATTCCTTCTATTTCTCATTTTTCTTTTCTCTGACATCAAATTATTTTTCCCCTACTTTTTCTTCTTCTATTGAACACGTTGCAACTTATATTATATATATATATATATATATATATATATATATATATATATATATATATATATATATATATATATATATATATATATGTGTGTGTGTGTGTGTGTGTGTGTGTTTTTTTTTTTTAATCTAGAATCTACGAGTTTCATGTTAGAACAAAACCAAAGTTAAAGTAGTTTTGCCCTTTCCCAACAACTTTGGAGAAAAAAATAAATGCAGAAAGTAGCATATTAAAATACATTGGACATAGAGAGTAAATACCCTTTGTTACCTTCTTCCAACTGCTGTGCTTCCATGTTATTATCTTCCTCACTGGGATCCTGTAAGTCTAATTGAGGAAAGAGGTCCAACTCCATGCTAACTTTTTCATCCTCTGGACATGCTTCCTTGTGTGCATATTTGAAGGAATAGTATGCATAAACCAGAAGGAAAGCAGCGTTCACTGTTCCCAATATCCAAAAGTACTTGTCCAAATGACTACTGTCCACATATTCGTCGAACCAGTCACCGAAAATTAAGACAAATGGTATAACGAGGAGTTTGCCTGTACCAATCACCAATTCACTGAAGGAATCTTCAAAACTCCACATCGATTTCGCCACGTGGTCATAGAATAAGTTCTGCAACCCACGATCAACAAGACCCTCTGCCATTCCTAACAAAATAAATTGTGGAACTAAAGCCACTGTCGTGTTTGTGTCTTTTGACAATCTGCGAACCTCAATTTTCCAGGCTATAAAGCAGCAAATTACCGCACCAAGCATGCCAAAACCAACCCTTATAATTGTGGCTTCTTTTCTTCTGGACATACTATCCATAACTCTCAATTTTGTCAAGCATTCTAGTGTAAGAAAGTAGATGAATCGTGACATATTTTTCGTGACGTCTTTGAACAAAAAGAGAAGAAAGATATCATTACCAACAATATCAGTAATAACTGATATTGCACTGTTTGCTTGTGCAACAAAGAAAGTGTTCCCAGAAGCCAAAAGAAAACTGTAACCAAAGAGGGTAAGTCCTAAGTAGATCATAGGAACAAGACTTTTCACTTCCCTCACTTCTTGTACCGTGCATAACTTCCCATTCTTTTCTTGTACAGCACTCACTTCTTCAGGATCTTCTGCTTCGACAATAGCTGCTTTGTCCAACCACCTGAACATCCGTGGAACTCGTGGCTTTAACCTCAATCCTTTACCATCATCATACAAATGATCCTGCTTATAATCCTTCCAGTAATAACAATTCGGTGAGGTTGGATATTTTGATTTCCCTTTCCCCAAAGCTGCTTTGCAGATTCTGTAGATCTTGCGGAGATTGCTTTCATCACACAATTCTTCGCCACTATACCACACAGAACCAACCAGGAAGAACACATAAGTCCCTAACATGAAAATTGCCGCAAATCTGAAGCGGCCATGGTAAGTTCCATCTTTTTCAAAAGCAATATAAACAGTCATCATATATACAACCAGCGATGGAACGAACGAACAGATCCTAATACAAATTGTACCCAGGTGGTCTTTTAACTGATGCTCAAGAAAACTCTCTGAAAGCCTTTGACCAGCGTTCCCTAATACAAGGAGGAGTATTGCAACGTAGACCGCACCAGGTGCAGATGTAGATGTCCACAGTAGCACTAAACCCTGCAATTAGAATAAGAGAGTCTTTGGTTTTATCAAGTCTTGATTGCATGCTAGGTAGTAAATGGGAGGAAAAATCGAATGTAACTACATATAAATAAGAATTTACCATGATGGAAAATGGAGCACAATATGTAATCATATTGAAGCAACCTGTGTATTCTTCTGAGATTTGATAAACAATAGCAGAAAAAAGAGATGATAGACCATCTTGAAGATTTGTAACCACAAGTGCTATCAGGTAAATTTTCCTACTCCCTTGATTGCCCTCCTCCCCCCATAAATCTGCGAGGTAATCCATCAGTATAAAAACCACCGCGGCTGCCACAAAATTATAGCTCACGATCAAACCTAAAAAAAATATCAGGGAGAGAATGGGAAGGAGTTAAAATTTTGTTCCCATTATAAATTGCAGAATTAGTTGAGTTCTTCAGTGATTACCGCCAATGAAAGGCAGGGTCTTAAGAGCAGATGAAGAGTTTATCTCTGAACTGTTTTCTTGCGATGCCATGAGATAAGTTTGATTGGAATATAAGAATACAGTGATAATATATATGTATATAGCTCGAAAAGAGTTATATGGTGGGGCTAACAGAATGGTACATTTTGCGTGTATTGTGTTAGAGACACCAAGTGAGGTTTAAAGAACAAAAAGAGGACAGTCAACACGTGTTGTTCAGATAAAAGAAGACATATTCGTCAATGACAAAATTATTAAAGGAACTTTCCAGATCGCAGCATTTTAATTAAATCGATATAAAATTAAATATAAAAATATATTAAATTTTTAAGTCAATTTTAATAAAAAAAAATCTAATTTTTTATTTTAGATTTGAAGAGAATAATTAATTGATATATGAATATATTAATTGACTATTATTGTTTTGGTGTTATCACTTCTACTAAATTAAACGAGTTTTACCATTATCGTATGTGTATAGATTTTAAATTACATTAAGAATCATATGGTTGTGTTTTGTTATTTAAAAAATAATCTTATTCTGAATTATTTCCATTTAAATTGAAGAATATTACAAATTTCCGGTCAAGAGTGAAAAAAATTATTAAAAATGAATAAACTCACATCTTAATGAAACATGAAAGTTCAAGAGATGTACTTTAGATGCTTAACTTAAATTGTATTATATTATGAACATAATAGATTATTTGTATATTGAATTTTATTCTATTTTAGTTTACAAAAATATTGTATATGATATATTGATGAGGCATGAGTTATATCTTAGTGAGAAAAAAATGAAAAATGAAAAATAAATGCTCACACAAAAATAACAATTATGGTTTAAAACAATATACAAATGAGAATAACGAAGATTTAGTTTTAGAAAATAATATAAACCACATTGGTAGAGGAGAAAAGTGAAATAGATGGAGATCTAATTACTGATAGTTTGAACATAGCAATAATTTCACTCATTATTACATTGTTATTTCTCCACAATTTCGTACACTTTAATGTAATATAATAATAAGATCTTATTTAAAAATAATAACATTTAAATTAAGATCTTATTTAAAAATAATAATATTAATATATAATTAAAAATTATTTTTATTATAAAATTATATTTTTTAAAATATTTGAATATAAATTAATTAAATAATATTACATTAAAAATATAAATTAAATATATTATTTATTTGATTTTTATAAGTGATTTCATGAGTCAACATGTATATATAAATTAAAATTATAAATATAAAAATGAATTATTTTTAGACTTTCTATTATTCTTTTTCTTATTTTTTTATTTAATTATTTTACATTCTTTATCTCTCTTTTTAAGTGTGAGATTTGAATTTAAAACTAATGAACATTAAAAAAAAAATTAGCCAATTAAAACGGACATAGACATTCAACTAATTTTAAAACAATTGAGATAGACTATTTGAGATTATTCTAAACATCCTTACTTAATTAAGAAGATGTATATTAGAGATTAAGAAGATTTTAATATTAAATCAGATTTTAACTTAAAAACTAATTAATATTAGATAAAGTAATCGATAAATATATAAATTATACTAAAAATTGAGGAGGTAGTCTACATAAATATATACATTTTGCAATGAATGGTATATCTACTTACACTTCGTAATTCATTTTTAATTAAGTGCTTTAATACTATTTTATTGTAGTATGTAATTATAATGAATGGTATATCCATGTACAGTTCTTAATTTTCAACGAAGATACTGCGAAATTCTGTATCTACTTTGATTCCAAGTTTTTGTGATCAAGAAAAAGAAAGAAAGAATAAGGTACCGTTTTTTGTGTATCATATTAAATGCAAAAGTCTTTGGAAGCAAGTGGGTTGAATTTGACATATACTCTCTTTAATTAATTAAGAAATTTCACATTTGTTTATAAAAATAAAATCAAAACGCGTTTTCCCAAATGTTAATTTTAATTATTCGTTTTATAAAATAATATTTTTATAATATATATATATATATATAATAAATTTATTAATAATAATATTTTTTATAATAAAAAAATTATTTTCATAATTATCATAAATTATAATAAAAATTATAAAAATAAAATATATCCTAAAATATAGGATGAATCATTATTAAAATAAAATAAAAATATAATCTAATAATTGTTATTTAAAATTGATGTAATTAATAAGAGAGGAAAACACTAAAATATATTTATATATTTTATAAAAAAATTACATTAAAAAAGAATTATCTTAATTTTTTTTTAAGTTGGATTTAAAAGTACAACTAATTTTTTTATTTTACTTAATTTTATAATTTAATTATTAAAAAAAATAACGATTGTCCAATTCCCAATTTAATCAGTGTGATCTGATTTTTCAACCCTTTAAATAAAACATCTATTCAATGCAACAACTCTTCAAAATTACTTAGTCAGAAAAGAAAGACGAAGGAAAGGATGCTTACGATTTCATAACTTATTTAGTTTTTACTCCCATGATTAATATTTAAGAATATAAACAGCTCTCAGAATTTTTCTCCTAAGCACATATAAAGATAGTTTTTATAAAAATTATTAAAAAATGAAATATTATTTTCATATCATAAATCTTACATATAAAGTTGTTTTAAAAAAAATTATCGGTCTGAAACAATTCTACATTAATAAGAACTGGATATTAAATTTAACAACCTCGTAAAAGGTTACATTGAAGATATGTGAGAAAAATCAAAGTCAAGTTCATAGTTATTCCGATCTACTTGTAAGAGAACACCAAAATTAAAAAAACGGTAAAATTCATTAACAGCGAAGATATTAATTAACTTACAAAATGTCTGAATAAATCTTTTGAAGCCATGAAGAAATCTAGTCATGGTAGTTTCTTTGTTTCACTACTTTGGTCTTAATTAATGCAATATACATATCTTTATAATAATACTCTTGTACAGTTTTGTTTGATGTGAAATTTTGTTGTGTAATATTATGGCACACTCTCACTCAAGCAAGCTTACCAAACATGCCAAACAATGATCGCAATTCTTTTACCTCTTATGAATTTTTGTTGCACTTGGTTTCCAAATATAAGAAGATGTCTTTGAAGCTCTAATGACAGCTAATTTATCCTTAATGAAATCACTAATTATAATATTTATATACAATTTGAGATCATCATTCTCATTTTACTTATCTTTCCTATTCTATATACAATTTTGGACCATTATTGTTATTGAAAATAACAAATTTTGTATTATAACTAACTAATTTTCTTCCTTGGCTTCCTAATTAGTTGTAATTATGTATTTTTGGGTAATTATCCTAATTTATGGTTTATCTTAAATGACTAAATAATATATTATTAATAAATATAAAATAAAATAAAAAATATATAAAAATTAAAAATTAATTTTATAAATATTTAAATAAATATATTTAATAATCATTAAACCATTAAAAGTTAAAATAATAAATATACATGTAATTATAATTATAAAACTGTGAAAGATTACGTCGTCCCACTTCCAAAAAATTTCATCATTTATCATAATCACCGTCACTTTCAAATGTAAGAAGATTTTGACAAGAATAAAAAAATTATTTTATCTTCTAGACTATATTTATTTATTTTTCTAATAATAAGTCTAACAAATAATAAATTAATTTGTTTTCCTGAATTACACGTGTATATATATATATATATATATATATATATATATATATATATATTTCTAAAATAAATTACACAAATTAAGTAATAGAATATTTATAGTTATGAATAGTAATTATTTATAGATATTCTAATAATTATTTATAGAATCAATAATAATAAACAAAAGTACAAATGTTATTGATCCAATATTATTCTTCTATTTTTCTCAATCTTTTTGTGATTAAATTTGAATATTTTATTCTTGTATCTGGTTTCCGTTCACAGTTCCTCCATTTGGTTCTTATTCAATATGTGGAGTAAATTTTGTGCGTGCTTATGATTTTCATTCATGCTGATCATTCTTGTTCACAATTGTTGTTATGTTTGAACTTTGGTTTTTGTTCAAGAATAAAAATACATGATGTGAACACGTTTTAATATCTTAGTTCCTTAACTGGTGGTTAGATGGTATGCTTTTCATATATAAAAAGTTATATTAATTAAATTAGCCTTGTTACTATTATAAGATAATTAGATATTTTATAAGACATTATATTTACTTTTAACTCCAACATTTAATCTTATAATCAAAACATAACTATCTTTTTTTTTCATGATAATAAATATGTTAAAATTATTTTCCAGTTTGATGACAACATGAATATGGAAATGCAATAACTAAGATGACAAAACTTCTTATATAAAGAACTAAAAGACATTATCTTTCTTCCTCTTGTGTGACATGAATAAAGGTTTTGAAGGTGGGACACCATTGTTGTATATTTAGTGATAGGATTGTTTGGTTGACTTAAGTAGATTGGTCAATTTGAGATGATGTCATGATGATAAGAGCTTTTTGTGGTGATTACCACGACAACTTATAAATGAAAAGGAATTTCAAAGCCAAACACAAGTTTCAATGTTATCAATCTTACGACAAGTTGGTCATTCTTTAGGACGGGAATTAAGTCACAGGTTGACTGATGTTGAATTTAAATATGCTCATGTTCATATATTAATCAATTGTGTTGAAGTTAAACCATATCTTGAGTAGGTTTAAATAATATTATTTTTCAATTTCTTTGTCAAATTTTCTACGACTTTCAAATTGACTGTTGAAATGGTCTACTATTGGCTAGTTCATTCTTGCAGTCAGAACAAATAACTGAATCACAGGCTTCTGCTTCGGATACATGCAAATTTTCCTACATGGTTCAAGGAGCAAGTATGAATCTTATAATTTTATTTTAAATATATTTTAGATATAGTAATGTAATATTGGATGTCTCTTAAATTTGTAGATCCACAGTGAGCCATGTACGATGAGAAATCAATACCTAAGAGATTTGTCCAATCATCCCATGAGATGTGTTAAAGAATGGCACACATACTTTGTGAATGGATACAAATTTCATACAGATGCATGGAACAAGGGAAAAAAGACGATAAATAGTGGAGTTTATGTTAAGGGTTTGACAAAAAGTGGTGAAGATGATTTTTTTGGGATAATTATTAAAATATATGAGTTAGAATACAATTCTTCAAGTTATCCCAAAAAAGTTATGGTTTTTTTACTGTGAATGGTTTGATCCATCTAGAAGAGGTACAAAAGCATATCTTAAATATAATATTGTAGATATTCGAATGGGTTTAAGATATGAACCATTTGATCCATTTATCCTTGCACATAATGTAAGACAAGTGTATTATGTCCCATATCCATCATTTCAAATAGATAAACGTGGTTGGTGTGTTGCAATCAAAACAAAACACTACAAGAAAAAACACATTTAGCGACCGAAATTAGCGACCGAATTTTTTCGGTCGCAATTAGCGACCGATTTAATTCGGTCGCAATTAGCAACTGATTTAGCGACCGATTTAATTCGGTCGCTATTAGCAACCGATTTAGCGACCAAATTAATTCGGTCACAATTTAGCGACCGATTTAGCCACCGAAATATAATTTGGCTTCACATGTTTTAGTTAGCGACCGAAATAGCGACCAATAGTTTGCGTCGCAAAATTTCGGTCGCTAAATCGGTGGCTATTCCACACTAAAATAAAAAAATCATTTAACGACTGATTTAACAACCGAATTACAAATTGAAATAGTGACCGAATTGAAATCGGTCGCTAATGAAGATTATTTTTTTATTATATTTAAATTTATTTTTTTATAAATATACTTTAATTGTTTTATTATATTTTTTACAATTTATTTTTTAAAAATAATTTAATTTTTAAAATATACTTTAAAAATAAACTTTGGTCTCAATATTAACAAAATGAAGATTAACTTTAATTTTAAATTACTAAAATAAAAATATTATTAAAAATAAATCAAATTTATTAAAAATTTAAATTGTAATAAAGTGGGAGTTAGTCATTTTCATATATTTTATGTTCTATGTTTAATTTAATATATGTATACATTGTTTTTGGACATATTTGGTTATCTATAGATATGCGGTTTTTTTTCATTCATTACACTTTGTACATTAAGGTTACTATATCGATCTCGATAAGTTAAAGTTTGGACCAGTTGAAAATAGACGTGTACAGATCACATTCACGTAATTTTTCATGCTACACATTTCATGATGAATCCATGTCATTTGGTTATGTCAAGATGAGTAATCATTGTTGGTTTTAGTTGCGATGATGCAATGAAAAGCTGGTTTGGTTCTATATCCCGATATGATTAATGGACAAGACTTTTGGAATATGCTAAAGGAATATAATGACAATTTTGAGCTCATAAAGTCTAACACATTTGTAAGGTTGTAAAGACATATATATTTGTGACCAGTGGGAGATTGTTGACAAATTTTGGGTCATGTATATATATGATACATATTTAAATGTGTTAGGGTCATTATTTATTAAGCCAAATAATAAAGTGATCTTAATAAATTAAAGTTTTGGCTAAAGGCATATGTCATGAAAATATGATTGTGTAGAGACCATAGAGTAATTTCTAATTTGATGAGGGGCCAAATTGAAAATACTAAAACTTAAGTAATTAACCTAATTTTGGTTATTTAAAGGGTCATGGTCCCCTTCTGAGAGCATACAGACAGAACGTAGTTACAGTCTCGTTCTTTTCTTTCTATCCCCATCAAGAAAGAAAATCAAGAGGGAAATACAGGTGTTCTTCAGGTGGAAGACCTTAAGATCAAATCAAAAGTGCTCTACAAAGAATATCGTCATTATGGCCAATTCAGGTACGCTTTCGCATTTAGTTTATAACATGTTTACAGTATGAGATTATAGATATATGTTTGATCATTAGAATGAATATCATATTCAATTACAGTTTTGTTAGAATCGTGCAGCGGAATGTTCGCGTGGTCGGACAAAAACCAAGAGGGGGGGTGAATTGGTTTCTTAATAAAAATTAGGTTTTCAAAATTTTTCCCAAATTTTACCGATTAAAAACTGTGTAAATGTAAATAGGGAAGAGTAGAGAAGATTACACGGTAGGTTTATACTTGGTTCGGATCAAAAGACCCTACGTCCGAGTTGCTAATCACTCAAAAGAGGATTAACAGCTGTCACTAAGAACAAATTGTTACAAAACAAATTACAAATGAAAGAGATAAAGTAAAGACAACACCTCTCTTGAAATCCACAAGAGATGAAGAACAGACTTTCCCCAGAGACGGCACTGACACACAATCCACTAAGAACTCCACTTAGTGATTCTTATCGCTTCTAGCCCACACCAGGTTCCAAAAGCCCCCTTTCCTTGCAACAAACAGTTCTCCGGCACTCCACGACACTTAACTTTTGTATGGAAAGAGTTGTTCTTTCTTTTACGAGTGCCAAAGCAGAGTTTAAGTAGGGAA